AAATCTTTAAATAGCAGTATAATACACCCCACTGTAGTGGGGATGACTGTGACCAGTGATCTCTCCTGGTGTGTACCTGCTCATTCTGCTGTGCAGCTGCTGGCAATTTCAGAATCCAGCTGCTAAGAACATAAGCCCTACTCATTCAGGCCAAAGCACCATCTATGCTGGCATTCTGTTTTCACAGTAACCAACCAGGTACCTATGCGAAGCCCTAGCTTTGAACCTTTCCAGACTCAGGGTCCACTAATAATTATTTCTCTCTCTCTCCTCCCCCTTCTCCTTTTCTTGCTCCCTTTTGTTCCTTCTTTATATCTCCTTTATTTTAACTCTCTTTTTTTTTACCCGAAATGAAAGAAAGAGGCCCTAGTTCTGTTGATGCCCATAGAAAGGAGCGTGTAAAATATAATGCAGTCAAGGTTTACCTGCTAAAAACCCAGGCATGATTTTGAAATAGCGCTAAGGCTTTAGGATCCTATTTGCATGAAGAGACACATTAATATTTCTGTTGATGTTTTTTTACAAGGTCAGGAGCTGACATTTCAGCTCTGCCTTCCGGAAGGGGAACTCTGGTCTTCGTTGCATATCTTTAAGTGCCAGGCAAAAACATACCCTTTCTTCCAGGCCTTTGGCTAATTAAACATTCCATGAGTGTGTTGGGGGGGGTACTGTTTTTGTTTGTTACATGTGTGTATTTTTGTTCTTTTATATCAGGGATCAGCAACCTTTTCCAGCCGTGGGCCAGTTCACCGTCCCTCAGACCATGTGGTGGGCTGGACTATATTTTGCAGGGGGGGAAATGAACGAATTCCTATGCCCCACAAATAACCCAGAGATGCATTTTAAATAAAAGGACACATTCTACTCATGTAAAAACACGCTGATTCCCAGACCGTCCACGGGCCAGATTGAGAAGGCGATTGGGCTGCATCCGGCCCGCAGGCCTTAGGTTGCCTACCCCTGTTTTATATTCTAAATGTGCTGCTCTGATTTCCTTTGGCCCACATCAGCAAGGCCAAGTGAGGGGTATTGTCGTCTGGGCAGCCCAGGACCTCCATACACACTGCCTTGGAGAGATCACTTCGATGCCAGCAGCCAATGAAGTGGTTTGACTTTACCCCTGGAGGCACACTCCATTGTCTCTCCAGACAGACAGGTGCCAACAGCAATGGCAAACCACCCTGTGATCCTTGGGTGAAGGGCCGTATAGAAGTTGAAACCACCACCACAACATTCCCAACTTTATGAGGAATGGTTGAAGGAGTTGGGTACGTTTAGCCTGGAGAAGAGAAGACTGAGAGGTGATAGGATAGCCACCTTCAAATATCTGAAGGTGCTGCTCTAGAGAATGGGACCTGGACCATTCAAATTACAAAAAAAGGAGATTCCAATTTAACATTGGGAAGAACTTTGGCAAGAGCTGTCAGACTGTGGAATGGACCAGTGGCTGTTCTTGGGGTCTCCAATTTCAACAGCGCCCTGTGTGACGCCAAAAGTCAACGCCTCCTCACCTCTCGCACTCCATTCTAAATCATAGTTGCAGTGTCCCTGGCAGAGTCCCCAAGGCTCCAAAGGTAAAGGATCCCTGGGTGGTTAAGTCCAGTCAAAGGCAACTATGGGGTTGTGGTGCTCATCTCGCTTTCAGGCCAAGGGAACCAGCATTTGTCCACAGAAAGCTTTCCAGGTCATGTGGCCAGCATGACTAAACTGCTTCTGGTGCAACGGAACACTGTGACGGAAACCAGTGTGCACTGAAATCTGTTTACCTTCCTGCCAGAGTGGTACCTATTTCTCTACTTGCACTGGTGTGCTTTCGAACCTCTAGGTTGGCAGGAGCTGGGACAGAGCAACGAGAGCTCACCCCATTGCAGGGATTTGAACTGCTGACCTTCTGATTGGCAAGCCCAAGAGGCTCAGTGGTTTCAACACAGCGCCACCCACGTCCCCGAGGCTCCACACCCAGTGTGACCGAACCAGTCATGCTCCCTTAAATCTGCCTCTGAGTGGACTCTGTCAGTAGGTAGTGGACTCCATTGGAGGATTTCAAGCGGAGGTTGGGTGGCCATCTGCCAGGGATTCTTTAGCTGTGGTTCCGGCATTGCAAGGGGCTGGACTAGATGACCCTTGGGGTCCCTCCCAACCCTACAATTCTGTGATTCTAAAACCCCTACTTGGAGATGCCCTAGTATTGAACATGGAACCTTCTGCATTCAAGTCTGAAGAGCTTCAGACTGGGGTGTGGGGCTTGAAGGCTGCTTCTCAGGGTTTCTGCACTTCTTGTGTTTCATACCTGAAACTCGCCTTTGCCAGCTCACCATTCCAGGTGTTGTTCATTCAGAACTACCCCTTACAGGGTGTCCAGTCCAAATGTGATGTTTTCCTCCCCTGCCCCACTGCGCCCCATCAGAATCTTCCAGTAACACCTGCCGCTGCCAAGCTCAATTTATTCAGCCTGTCGAAATGGGTCCCTTTTAGGGGTCTGAAGGTCACCGCATCTTGTTTCTGCTGCCCACGGCGATGCCATTACTCACTTCCTGTGTTTTGAAATGAAGGCTGGCATCGCAGACCAGGTTCATGACTGTGCAGGTTCTCTCAGAAGTCGAAACAGGGAACAGCCTTTTCGTGATGTGTTGCGGAAAAGCACACACAATATCCGCATATATGCAAGGTGTGTCATGAAACCCTAATAAGTGGGGTTTCACACGCACACACACCACACCGCTTTAAATGAAAAACAGCTCCAGGGGGTTCTGCTTTGAGTGGGAGAGTGAAGGCAGGGGAGGCTGCTTAACCCCTTCCCCACCTGCCATTTCCCTGCTCTAAATTGTCCCCATCTGAGATCTGGTGTGTCATTACGCTTGCAAACACAAACATGGACAGAGTAGACCCATTGAAATTAACGGGACTCATTTTAGTCAAGTTCATTAAGTTAAATAGGTGTGCTCTGGGTAGGATTAACATTGGATGCAACCTCCCCCACCCCAATTAAAATGAAACAAAATTTAGAGTTTGTTCCCCAAGGAAAGCAGAATCTTCCTTTTCAAGTGTGTTACCTTTTCCTCGGTTCCTTTCTTAAATATTAACCCAAACGCCATTGGATGAGTGTTCAATGGAGCAGAAGGACCCCTGTTCAAAGTACGTGCGTCTTGTGCAAGTATCTCTTGCTCTGGGGGGTGGGGTTGGGAAGGGTGATTTTATTGAAGACGCATTCCCCTTTCTTTCTGACCCTTGAGGCCATGCAACCCCTTGCGCTAAAGTGGGGCAGTCCTCAGTGGTATGAAAAGTTAGTTTGAGAGCATTACTTTTGTACTTGTGATGTTGGGGTGGTTACACTTGATCCCATTTACAGCGCTGTTTGCTCCTGCAAAGGTTTCAGGGTGGTCACACCGTTTTGTTTCCAGTCAGTCTACGTCCCATAAATTCCTGCTGAAATCCTTTTCATCCCACAAATGTCCCACAGAATATACCGTACTTTTCGCTCTATAAGACGCACCAGACCACAAGACACACCTAGTTTTCGGAGGAGGAAAACAAGAAAAAAATATTCTGAATCTCAGAAGGCAGAACAGCAAGAGGGATCGCTGCGCAGTGAAAGCGGCAATCCTTCTTGCTGTTCTGGCTTCTGGGATAGCTGCGCAGCCTGCATTCGCTCCATAAGATGCACACACATTTCCCCTTACTTTTTAGGACGGAAAAAGTGAGTCTTATAGAGCAAAAAATATGGTATGTGTGTTGTCCTGCTTTTGCTGCCCTGTAGTGCCAGAGTTGCCCTCCAAATGACCATAATATGGCCACATTGGGAAACCCTCACAAAACAACTGATAATGCAGAATGAAGTGTGGATGAACCAGCACACATCCACTTTGAATGTGCTATGGTTGCAGCAACGACATGTTGCAGTGTAACCTGATGTGGCCATTGATTTTTATGTATGTTGCGATATTTATTTAAAAGAAGGTGAAGGGTGGCTATAGATAACATTTCTCCTCTGCACCCTTACGGTCTCCATCAGTTACTAATCTGCACCCCAAAATGAATATTAATTGTTGCAGCAATTTCACTCAAGAAATGCACATATAGACTTCTTGTTCATGCCTGTTGACGTCTTTTTTATTAAAAAAAAAAAGTTCAGGGAGGTTGATGGCTGATACTGAATGTGTTTCTCTCTTTCTTTGCTTTCCAAAAGTGAGGAGGATAACTTCAAAGTGGCTGTTATTTACCTCCTGGACAAAGAAAATCCAGGATTTGTTTGCAAAGTGCTCAAAAGACATCAATTATTGGAGCAACAAGAAGTCATTTTTTCCCCTAGCTGTGCCTCCCTCCTTTGTAGTTGTAGAAGTTGCAATAGGTCACAAAGCAAAGCTGAGTGCGTTGAAAAGCACTTATTTCCACAAAGCACAAAATTAGCCAAAGAAATTAATTGGCCACTAGTTTAGGACTAGGCCAATTTGTGAGATGGCCTAGAAATGGTTAAGCAGTCTAAATGGAACCCTCATACTCAGGAGAAGTCTACCTTGTGAGTAGGGATGGGGGAAAATGTCCTTCAGTCCACATTTCAAGGTGAATTTACCTAATTTGTCCTTTCTGAAACAATACACAAACCAAAACACAACTATCCTTGGAAGTCTGCATCATTGCAAATTTCACAGTTCAGTTTTCTAGGCAAGTAATGTGCACAAAAATGCATCTACAATAATAATAATAATTTATTATTTATACCCTGCCCATCTGGCTGAGTTTCCCCAGCCACTCTGGGCAGCTACAAGGGGAAAGTGTGTTTAAAATGCATATATTTCTTTTAAAAATCACACGCCAAAATTAGGGGGGAAATTGCATAGGGAAACATGTATACTGGGAGGGAAAAAAACACTCCAATGTGGATTAATTTTCAGGAGGACTGTTATTCTTAAATGCAAACTGATGTGGAAATGTGGAGAGCCAAGCTTACAACTGGGAAAATAAGAGAAACCAACACTGACCTCTCCGCTCATCCCTCCAGATGGGAAGATAGCTCAGTTGGCAGAGCACGAGACTCTTAATCTGAGGGTGATGAGTTCAAGCCCCGCATTGGGCAAAAGATTCCTGGACTGCAGGGGGTTGGACTAGATGACCCTCGGGGTCCCTTCCAACTCTACAATTCTGTTCTCCCTCTAAGTCCTAGGTGCTGAAGGCAGCAGAAAAAGGGCAAAGAGTTCCCTAGGACAAGGCCAGCTGAACTTTGGAGATGTGTGGGATCATCAAAAGTGTCCCCTCAGATGACCTCGGTGACTGAGATGGAGTCAGGCGACCCTCAAGGTACTTCCGGCCTTGCTTTTTCCGTGCTTTGTGAAGTAACGCAAGAACCTTGAACCTGGCTGGTAGTGAATTCTCAGCTGGCTCAGCCTCTCTGAGCAGCAGGTAGCCTGTTCCTGGAAGCAGCCTGGCCACTGCCTTGTTTTCCCCACCCTGTCCTAGCCACACAGTTACAGAGACACATGCTGTTGTCTGTCCTCTGCCAAAGAAAAGTACAGTCCGTGGGAGGTTTAAGGACGCGCGGAGGATCTTTGATCCCTTGCAGATTAGTCCTAACACCTGCAACTTGAAAGGCACATTTGGAAGATCTTACGCCGCATCTCCCAAGGAATGGGTGGTACCAGTGCTTCCCACAGGCCTTGGTATGACGGACATCACTCCTGCAAATACCATATTTTTTGCTCTATAAGACGCAGTTTTCCCCTCCTAAAAAGTAAGGGGAAATGTGTGTGCATCTTATGGAGCGAATGCAGGCCCCATGGCTTCAGCGAAAGCAACACGAAGCCTCCGGAGTGTAGCAGGAGCTCCCGCTGCGCTCCGAAGGCTTAGCGTTGCTTTCGCTGAAGCCAGGAGAGCAAGAGGGGTCGGTGCGCACTGATCCCTCTTGCTCTCCTGGCTTTGCTTCGCTGGAGAGGCGCTGCACAGCTTTCCTTCTCTGCGCAGCCCCCCTTCAGCGAAGCCGGAGGAGAAATTGAAGGGGCTCCGCTTCTCCTGCCGCTTTGCTGAAGGGGCGCTGCCACAGAGAGGGAGAGAATTTTTTTCTTCTTGTTCTCCTCCTCTAAAACTAGGTGCATCTAATGGTTGGGTGCGTCTTATAGAGCGAAAAATACGGTATGTGCCCAAGGAGGAGAACTGGCCCAAAGCATTGGGAAGTAACAGCTGAGAAGACTGCCTGGGGCATTTTTGTCGTGCGTGATGCTCAAAGTTCCTTACCAGCGCTGTCTTTAGCATCTGCGCCGCCGGGGTGCAAAGCTCCGCCCAGCGCCCCCAGATTTAGTTTAGCCCCCAAATTAACTTTTATTATGCTTAGGTCAGACACCACACACACGCCTTATCTTTTGTTTACGAAAGAAGGGAGGAAAAAGAAACAGACTTCCTTATTTGCACATTTATTTACAATACACTTATACTTAAGTATACAACACCACCACACTTAAACTTAAAAGTATTGTTTAGGCACCTACTTAGTAGAAACATTGGTTGTGTCAAAGGAGCTGCTGACCCTGCTGCCGCATAGCAGCTCAATACAGTACGTAACATAATATTTTGATGTAAGAGTTAATTTCGCATGTACAGCGCTGTTGTGAATGACAAGAGCCGCTGCTGGTGCGGCGCATCTTTGGTAAATGAGAGCACAAAGTTAAAAGTCCTTTAGTGAAACAGTAAGTATACATTTCGGTAATACCTAGGTATATATGTATTTTGTTTTTCTAGCTTGATCAAAATTATTATTATTTCATAACAGGTAGATAGTTAAGAGCTTAGGCGGCTTCAGTGGTGGGCACCTGGTGCCCCCCAGAATTTGGCAGCCAGGTGCCCCACACCCCTTGCCCTCATGGGTAAAGACGGCCCTGTTCCTTACAGCCTGGAAAGTGACGAGTCTGGATGTATAATGTAGTATAGGATCTGAAATAATTCTTAACCCCCCTTTATCAAAAGATTCCAGGGCGGTGTCTGAAAGCGTGATTTAAGATTGTTTCACACAACATATCAAGGCTATTGAGAAGCAACCAATAAGCAAAACAAACAAAACCCCGTATTTACTCCAATCTAATGCTCACCTTTTTTTGCCAACTTATGTTGCAAAAATTAAGGTGTGCATTAGATTCAATGGCACATTTACATCCACCAGAAAATACTTTTTGGGTTTCAAGGTTCTGAAAAACGAGATGCGCATTAGATTTGATGGTGCATTAGGCTCAAGTAATTATGGTAAATAACTCCCACCAAAAGCTAGAAACGAAATAAAACAATTCCAAAAGTTATCTAGGATCTAAAATGCTCCTGTTCGTCCGCCTTGTGAGTATCTCAGTTCATAGGCTGGGGCAAATGCTTTCCTAATGACTGGATTGTATATTTTGATGGCACCAGCTTGAGCCTTTTATTGGCTTGGCAAAACATAGGCTTGCAGTTTCACACTGGGCATTTTTGTGTTCGTAATACAATGGCTGCATTCACACACAATTCTAAGCTATAGTTTGTTTTCAACATGGCTTGTTCTGGGCACCCTGAGTCATTATGAATATCACATAACATCCTATTTCTCTAAACCTTGGTTTATTTGTTGCTGCCTTGGCCTCATGACTTTGTGGCTTGATCAGTGCCTGGAATGGAATGGTGGAACAAACCGTGGTTAAGCGAGGCTATTGAGTTCAAATGTAATACCAAACCAAAGGTGAAACAAGCCACGGTTTGTGAGCCAACAACAAATTATGGCTTTACATCATGGCTTTGTGCTGGAAAACAAACCATAGTTTTACTAAACAAACCATGGTTTACCTTTATGTGTGACCGGGCGAATAGCTCCATAGAACAATAGGATAGCAGAATAACATTTGGAACACATCTTCATGACACCATTCTGTACCGCAGGTTAGAACCCCAACTTAAACCCTGCACTCATTTTCAAGCCATCAGCAACGCAGGAGACAATACAGGGCACAGAGGGGGAGGTTGCCAGGCTGACAACGGGCAATGATGTAAGCGGAAGTTGCACTTCAGCGATGGCAGCAGCGAGGGGAGCATCCCGTTGCCTATCCATGGCTGCTGCTGCCAGCCTCCTCCCTTGGGCAGCTCATAGTGGCTGCCGGAGAGCAGGCGAGGAAGAAGAGAGGCCATGGCGCCAGGGCCCAGCCCTGCATGATGCGCTGGCTCCGAGGAGCAGGCACGGACAGGGCCATCCTGGGTGGAAATAAAGGGGAGCAGAGCAGAGCACAAGGAGTCTTGATTTTTTAAAAAGCGCTTTGTGCATCCACATCTAATCTTGTCCTCTTCTAAAAAAAAAAATTCCATTTTTTGCATTACTTTTTGTAAATCTTACCAAAAAATAAAATAAAATCGGGATTAATTAAGGGGTTTTCTCAGGACGCTGGAGGGTGTGTGTGCTGTGTCCTATTTGTGTACGTGGCGGTGGCATTTGCCCTTCTTCTGATAGGAAATGCTTGCGGGGGGAGCACCAGGGAAGAGATGGCATACAAACCAAATCAATAAGGATAAGTATAGGTGTTAAAAGAGCCCCCAACTCTCCACCCCCCCTCGCTTGTCTCATGGGCCCAAAGAGAGCGCCCCAATGCCCCTTCCATCGCTTCCCCCTTTGCAAAGGGACAACCTGTTCCCCTTACTCCCACCCGCCTGAACCTACTGCAGCAATTCAGACTGTAAATATTAGGAGTAGGACGTCCTTAGTGCAAGTGGAAACAACTCTGAGCAATTCCTGTGCAGTTGACTGAGCTTGGAGGCCAAAAGTATATTTAAAAAAATAAAAAAAATAAGTGACTTCTTTCATGCCGGTTCCTTTCTTTACTTTCCTTCTTTCTATCTTTTTTTTTTTTAAAAAAAAAAAGCCAAAACCACAGCTTCCCCATCAGCCAGAGGCTGGGGGATCAAATACAGGTCATATTTAGCAAAGGTGGAGATGAAACACGTTTAAAGGAGCTGGCGAATATGACATCACTGCTTGTAAGTGTGTGAGTGTGAGTGTGTGTGTGTGTGTGTGTGTGTGTGTGTGTAGGCTGGAGAAAGTGAGGAGGGGGAAGGAGCTCCGTCCTCAACCAAAGGAGTCAGAATCCCATGGAGACGTTTTTTTAATGGCCCTGTTTGTGAAAAACACCTCTCACCCACAGACCGAGAGGTCGGAGTGCAGTTTGTTGAACGCACTGATGCATTCAAAAGAAATTGTAAAATAGAACCTTTGTTTTCTTTCCTTCAGAAAAAAAAATCAAAAAAATCACATACAGTGGTACTTCGGGTTACAGACGCTTCAGGTTACAGACTCCGCTAACCCAGAAATAGTACCTCAGGTTAGGAACTTTGCTTCAGGATGAGAACAGAAATCGTGGCGGCAGCGGGAGGCCCCATTAGCTAAAGTGGTACCTCAGGTTAAGAACAGTTTCAGGTTAAGAACGGACCTCCGGAACGAATTAAGTTCTTAACCCGAGGTACCACTGTTTTCGTTCTTGAGGCACTTCCACACCACTTGTTTAATGAGCATTCATCCCAGTTTGCTTTTAGGGAGATCAGATGGTGCTGGCTCTTTAAAGAGTACCCATTCTGATTTGTTGGTGGGGACTTTAGAGGACAGTCGCTTCATAGCAAGTGTTAGCCCACACATTCCAAAGTGTTTTCACTTTCCACATCACAAGAAGTCCAATCTTTTTGACCTGGATTGGCAGGGATGTGATTGAATCGGGATGAGCCCTTCATCACTCTGTCACAGGTAGACAGAAACGAGCGAGGGATTCTAAATTTCTCTTTCGAGTTCGGAATTGATTTTTCGCCTTCCCTGCCGCAAAAATAAAATTAAGTTATAGGGGGTTTTTGTGCGTTTTTTAGGGGCTGTTCCACATTGACCACATTCCACATTTCACATTTGCAAGGGCTAATGGGAAGCCAGAGTCTGTGCTTACTATTACACCCAGGGGCTGCAAGTGACAATTCTGATGCTCTGGATTTAACACGTATATTACCCAGTGGTGGATGGTGCCCACTGGGGACTAGATGGGGTGGAAGACAGGGAGCCCAACAGTGGGTGGAGCTAGGGTGAGTGACAGCCAGAGTCAGAACCAATGACAGGCAGAGCCAACTAATTTTAGTTTCTGTCCCACCCTCTCCTTGGATGAGGGCAGCACAGTAAAGAGGAGGAGGAAGGTGGCAGCAGTGCCATCCCTGGGCTGGCTAAGCAAGTAAGAAGGCGGGTGGCAGGGAACAGATTGAAGCTGGTGAGCCAGCTCCCCATATACCCAAGCAGACCAACCTCCTCTGGCATTGTTGCTGTTTAGTCATTTAGTCGTGTCCGACTCTTCGTGACCCCATGGACCAGAGCACGCCAGGCCCTCCTGTCTTCCACTGCCTCCCACAGTTTGGTCAAACTCATGCTGGTAGCTTTGAGAACACTGTCCAACCATCTCATCCTCTGTCATCCCCTTCTCCTTGTGCCCTCCATCTTTCCCAGCATCAGGGTCTTTTCCAGGGAGTCTTCTCTTCTCATGAGGTGGCCAAAGTATTGGAGCCTCAGCTTCAGGAACTGTCCTTTCAGTGAGCACTCAGGGCTGATTTCCTTAAGAGTAGATAGGTTTGATCTTCTTGCAGTCCATGGGACTCTCAAGAGTCTCCTCCAGCACCATAATTCAAAAGCATCAATTCTTCGGCGATCAGCCTTCTTTATGGTCCAGCTCTCACTTCCACACATCACTACTGGGAAAACCATAGCTTTAACTATATGGACCTTTGTTGGCAAGGTGATGCCTCTGCTTTTTAAGATGCTGTTTAGGTTTGTCATTGCTTTTCTCCCAAGAAGCAGGCGTCTTTTAATTTTGTGACTGCTGTCACCATCTGCAGTGATCATGGAGCCCAAGAAAGTAAAATCTCTCACTGCCTCCATTTCTTCCCCTTCTATTTGCCAGGAGGTGATGGGCCCAGTGGCCATGATCTTCGTTTTTTTGATGTTGAGCTTCAGACCATATTATGCGTTCTCCTCTTTCACCCTTGGCATTACCTTCATTTATTTCAAAATGTGCCAAGTCAGCCCTGCTGCATTTCAGGGGCCCCTCCTGCTCATTCTGCTGCTCATTCATCTGATCCAAAGTTCTATCCTGTGGGTGTTCCCCCCCCCAAATAAAGTAGAGAAATGTGGAATTGTAGAGCTGGAGGGGAACCCCCAGGGCCATCTAGTCCACCCCCTGCAGTGCAGGAAGCACTGCAAATAATGAGGAGTCTGATAGCTCAGTCAGTAAAGTGTGAGACTCTTAATCTCAGGGTCGTGGGTTCAAGCCCCATGTTGGGCAAAAGATTCCTGCGGGTTGGACTAGATGATCTTCGGGGGGCCCTTCCAACTCTGCAATTCTGTGACTAGGATTCTATCCCTCAGAGGAACATATGTTCGCTCTTAGGAACATAGCAGGTGTGTGGGAGGGGCGGATTCAATTCAGTTCACATTTAAAGCCGAGCAAAACGAGAGGTAAATTGAAACGCAGCCCTCCTTCAAGGCCTGCAGTTCTCCAGGCAAGCAACACGTACAAAAGCACCCATGCTAAAGTGTGCCTATAAATGCATCTGTTGGTGAAAGCAACACAATGCATTATATCAGGAGAAATTGCTTTGCAAAAATGTGTACGTTAGGGGGAAAAACACGTATAGGAGAAATTTGCACCTAAATGCTGGAGAATTTTCATGAGAATGTTCTTTTTTAAAAAAGGCACACTGAGGTGGAAAGGTGGAGAACTGGATTTCAGGTTGGAAAAATGAGAATTTGGGAGAAATTGAAATGGGCAAAATCGCCCATCCCTCGAACACCAGAAACTGCCTTATACCAAGTCTGACCATTTGTCCATTAGCTTGGTATTGTCTACACAGACTGGCAGCAGCTCTCCAGGGTTTCAGGCAGCAGTCTTTCCCCAGCTCTACTTTGAGATGCCATTGGGGAGCAAACCTGGATCCTTCTGCATGCGCAGCAGGTGTCCTCCACCTGACAGTGTCAGGATTGCTTTCAATAACAGTAGCTCCTCTGCCCATCCCCACCTGTCCCTTCCCACGACCGATTCCCAATGGGACAGAATTCTTGAGCCTGAAACTTCTGAGAAACGGTGTGTTGTCCGAGGCCCTGAGGAACCCGGCAACCCTGGGCAAGCAGAATGGCCGTGATCTTCACCTGAGAAGAATTAATGAGGCATGTAGGATAGTAATGGGTGGAGAGATGGGGGGGGGAGAGAAAACACCCAAGCAACTCTCCCGCAATTCCCTCTGGACATCCTGCCCGAGGAGCGATGGGTCTGGCGAGAAGGGGGCCGAGGGGCAGTGGTGGGGAATGGCAGTAAGGGAAGGAGAACAATATCGCCTCAATTAGCACGGTGTTTCCAAAAGTGTGGAGAGCGGCCAAGGCCCGGCTTACTGACTGTGACAGAACATTATTACAATCAAACGGGCATGGAATTTGCTCAAAGGCCAAGCTGAGGCGTTCCTTCACAGATGGCTGACTTCTTGCACCACAGAATCTCTGCCGACCCACCAACTCAGGAGGTCGCTTGGTGCAGGGATCTTTAGAGTCTCAAAATCCTAGGTAGCTCAGGCCAGGGATTGTCAGGATCCTGCCCAACCCGAAACCCAGAGAGACCTCGATGTCAAAGACCAGCTGCTGGAAATTGCAAGTGAGGAGATTTGCTGATTCACTCAGCTGCTGCTTGTGGGCTTCCCATGGTTGGCCACTGTGAGAACAGGATGCTGGGATTGGTGACACATTGGCCTGATCCAGCAGGCTCCTTTAGGTTTATTTTATTTCAGGTATCCCCAAACTTGGCCCTCCAGATGTTTTGGGACTACAACTCCCAGTGGTCAGGGATAGTGGGAACTGTAATCCCAAAACATCTGGAGGGCCGAGTTTGGGGACACCTGTTTTATTTGATGTATCAGATTTACCGTATTTTTTGCACCATAACACTCACTTTCTTCCTCCTAGAAAGTAAGGGGAAATGTCTGTGCGTGTTATGGAGGGAATGCCTACGGGTGGCATGCCTACGGATTTTCCTCCTCTAAAAACTATGTGCGTGTTATGGTCGGGTGCATGTTATAGAGCGAAAAATACGGTATATACTGCCCTTCATCGAAAGATCTCAGGCTAATAACACGAAACAAAAAGCACAAATAACAGGAATAGCAAAACGATGACCCACAAACCCGTTTAAAAGGCTGTAGAATATTAATCAGCCAAGGGCCTGGTTGAAGAGGAACAATTTTGCCTGGCACCTCCATATATATAAAGGAAGTCACCAGGCAAGCCACTGCAGAAAAGGGCGCTTCTCATGTTTCTCCCTCTGGGGCTCTCTTGGAGGAAGCATACAAAGAAGGGCCTCTGATGAGGATCGCAGAGTCCGGGTTGGTTTATATGGGGAGAGGCGTTGAGGTGTTGTGGTTCTTAAATAAGGCACGGGACCCTGTGGAGAAGAAGAGGAAGAAGAAGAAGAAGAAGAAGAAGAAGAAGAAGAAGAAGAAGAAGAAGAAGAAGGGGAGGAGTTTGGATTTGATATCCCGCTTTATCGCTACCCAAAGGAGTCTCAAAGCGGCTAACATTCTCCTTTCCCTTCCTCCACCACAACAAACACTCTGTGAGGTGAGTGGGGCTGAGAGACTTCAGAGAAGTGTGACTGGCCCAAGGTCACCCAGCAGCTGCATGTGGAGGAGCGGAGACGCGAACCCGGTTCACCAGATTACAAGTCCACCGCTCTTAACCACTACACCACACTGGCTCTCAGAACCCCAGGCAATCCCAAGTATCTAGTCACATTAGCCTCTAGCTTGCGGCACCCTCCTCCTAGAATATCCTGAACCTGCCCTGATTCCTCCTCTTTGCCCCTTACAGACTTCAAGAGTGCAATGAGGCTTCTCCATTTGTCCATTTGTGGCACTGCCCCGCCACCCTCGGTCTGCCCTCAGCCAACCTCCTCCTGCCTGCTCATCTATGTACAGCAGTCCAGGAGGTGTCTCTGCCTGTCAGCTTCCTCCCCCCACTCTGTAGTCTTAATGCTGCCACTTGTAGAACTTAGTATAGAATTGTAGAGTTGGGACTGGGACCCCAGCGGTCATTTAGTCCAACCCCCTGCAATGCTGAAGTGGTCCATATTATGGGGAACGAACCTGCAGCCTTCATCTTTTCTGCTCTGTTTTTGTTTCTGCTCTGCTTTGGTCTTTCATATTTTGTGTGGTTCTCCACTCAGGGTTAAGGAGGGGTTAACATGCAGATGAAGGTGATCATTGGTTGAAGAAGGACTCTGTGTGAGAGGCAGGGAAGGAAAGAGAAGAAAGGGATGCTCCCAGGTGAGAGCTGGGAGGGTTCACCTTTCTCTGTGTGGGACAAGTGAATGTGAAAGGGGACTTTGTCTTCTTTTCCCTTCCACTTTCCCCTTCATTTTAGTTTGGTTATTTTATGGTAATGTATTATGAAAAGCCTTAATAAAAATCTTACAAATTGGTATACGATCAGCACTACACTCTAACCCAGGCATAGGCAAACTCCGGCCCTCCAGATGTTTGGGACTACAACTCCCATCATCCCTGACCACTGGCCCTGTTAGCTAGGGATGATGGGAATTGTAGTCCCAAACATCTGGAGGGCCGGCGTTTGCCTGTGCCTGCTCTAACCACTGGTTCAGAGGATGATGTGGACCAAAGCAGAATTAGCTGGTCCTTCCTATCATGGGCTTTTTCTCTCCTTCCTGCACTTCCGCCCTGGCAGACCCAAAGGGCACCAGTAGCCCCATGCAGAGGGGGTGCAGGCAGCCGGGTGCACTTGCCCCGGGCATCAGAGGGCAAAGTCAACTGGGGGACCCTGCTGGGGGGCTGCCAGACTTACGCTGTCATGGCAAGAACAAGACTCCCGCCCTGGGCCTCACACAGGCTCTGCGTCGACCTGGGCACCAGCCATGACTGCAAGAGTGAAGGCAGCAGTGGACCTTGTGGGAAGCCTTCTCCAAGGCAGTGTCCTCCAACTGTGGTCAGACTCCAGCTCCCATAAGCCCCTGCAAGCTTGAGCAATGGTCCAGGATGGTGGGAGTTGTAGTCCAGCAACATCTGAAAGAACTTCAGATGTTTTCGGACTACAGTTCCCAGAATCCCTCACTCATTTGCCATGCTGGCCAGGGGCTGGTGAGAGTTGGAGTCCAATAAACTGTGTGGAGGGTCACGACTTCCCAACTGTTAGATAAGAGAATCAGCTGCATACAATGACCCAGCAGATACTAGGAAGGGCTTCTCAAAACTCAGGCTGCTACCCTAAACACACTTCTTAGAGGCAGGAAGACCCTCTGAATTCAGAAGGCACTTCCTTCTGAGTAAAGATGGTTTATGATTGCAGGCACTATGATTTTTTGATTTAAAAAAATTAAAATTGGTTGAGCCTTAGGGCCTTGCAGGCACTATCTGAAGACACCATGTTGGGAACCCCAGAGTAAAGTGTGGAATGGATAGTTTTATTGGAATAATTTCATAAAATCATAGAATTTGAAGGGAGTCTGAGGATCAACTAGTTCAACACCCTGCAATGCAGGAATATGTATCAAACCTTGGGTGGATCTAAAAACAGGGGGGGAAACCACGTTATAAATAAGTTAGAAATTAGATCATTTTAACAACAAAATCTGTATGGAAAATCACTTTTTAAAATTTTCTGCTCTCTGGCACCATCTGGTGTTGCATATGTATAGCACATTCAAATCACTGTTTCTTTACTAATGTAGCTGAGTCCCTCATTTCCTTTCTAGATCAACGATTGGGTTCTGTCATATGGAGGAAATAGACAGAGGCACTCCATGCTCCTACTTTTGCTGGCAAAAGAACTATTGGAATGTCCTCAGGAACCCAGAAAAAAATGCTGAGCAAGCTCATATCCTGCTCCAGAGGGTAGGACCTGAACCAATGGCTTCCAGTTACAAGGAAAGAGATTCCAACTAAACATCAGGAAGAACTTGCTGATGGCTAGGGTTGCTGGACCGTGGGATGGACTACCTTGGAAGATGATGGACTCTCCTTCCTTGGAGGTTTTAAAGCAGAGGTTGGATGACCATCTGTCACGGATGCTTCAGCTGAGGTTCCTGCTTTGCAGGGGGTTGGACTAGATGACCCTTGGTGTCCCCTCCGACTCCACAGTTCTAGAACTCCATCTTTTGTGATGGCCTGAGAGCCTCTTAAAAGTTCCCCCAGACAACTTGTTTATTGGCTATTCATCCTGATTTCCTCACACAAAGCATACAGAGATGTTAGATCATGCCTGATCTATATTGATGTGTGCCTTGCTCTT